TTTTTCAACTTTAGAGATGATTGCCGAGGAATCGCTGTCCCTATTGGGCTTGAATGGAAGCTTGTGTGGGAATATTTTAAGCGAGTAGTCATTGTGTAATGGCTGGTTATTGTTGCCGTATGATGTGAGAGTATGCACTCTGGTGGGAGCTCAAGTAAACCTGTATTTTGCAATTTCACCTGAGAATGCTCATTGTCACATATTGCGTTTAGCTTTACAGGGTTTCTTGCGACGAACATCCATTGATTTTGTGCAACAGCCTGGATCCATAAGGTATTACTTGTGAAACTTTGCCAAGTGCAAGATGATGTACTATTATTAAATAGATTTACTTCGCAAGCGCACTTGCCTGATTCAAGAGAATATATTTCTTGTGTATCTGAACACATTGTAAAAACTGTATATCTGAAATCGGAAAGTATCCATTCCTATGAGTATTAAATGCCATCATAGATGTGCATGGTGTGATTGTCACGTATTCTCCGTTTATGATCCCTGGAACGGGAATAACAACAAATAAATCAAAGGACTGATCATTGATTAGTGGTAGAGTTATTTGAAACAACATTTTGGTATCAAATAAACCGCTGCTGACTGTCATAAGAGAATATAGCTCAGAAATGTTGCTCATGTTAACCGGCAACTGCATTGTTGACCTGAGATGTTCCCTCATTGTAGTAACCTCATTCATGAGTTGCTTTGGCGTCAGGAGAAGTGGACTGATTTTTCCATGATTTGTGTCGGTCAACACTCCTAAAATTGCTGATTCGTAAAATTGAATACTTGTTGTTACACTGAATAGTTGAGTTGAAATCGCAGTGAAAAGTTGGTGGAGTTTTAAATTATAAATTTCCTTGTCCTCTTCTAACATTTTTGCCTTTACATCGTTCAATCGCTCGACTGTTAATTCAAAGGTTGTTTGATACTGCTGCTGATTTCGTTTCATGATATTTAGAGTAGAATCTAAAATTGAAGTTTGGTTTTTAAAAAGGTTAAGCAAATGTTTATCGTCATTTTTTAGTTGTTGAATCGTCTGCGCCATATTTTTAGCGTATTCTGAATCCAAAACGCCGAATACTGCATTCGCAATGTTACCCACTAAATCAATTGCGCCTCTCTTCTTTCTTTTGTTGATCTGCATTATGTTTGCAGATAACAATTCATTTCTCGCTGCCTTGAACTGTTCAACTAACGTCCAGCAGTGATTATATCCATTCATCAACTTACACACGTTCGCTAAGGATTCGGTTCCATTTTCAATAAATTCAAACTCCTGCTGCAATGGACTTAAGTCATAATATGCAATGATTTTCCATTCTGCTTGTGATCTTTTGATGACTCCTTTGTGTTCGAAATGAATGCCTGGTGTGTTATAAAATGATTTTATCGTGATACCTAACCCTGATATCAGTGGTATCCATAATAGTACCAGCAATGCAATGGCTAGCAAGTTGATGTTGAGTTTTGCTCGTTTTTTAGGCTTTTCTTCATCACATCTATCAAGTTGCATCATGGGGGTTGAACAATCTTCCGACAATAATGGTGGTAGCCGATGTATTGGACGCTTCCAAATCCCCTTTTTCGTTTTGACATCTACAACTCTGATTCTTCCATCATTACCGGAATAGCATTTGATGATTCTGCCCAGAGGCCATTGAAGCGGAAGAGCATTGTCTTCTTGAATGATTACCAGCATTCCTTCTTTGACGTCAGGTGATTGGTCCTTCCATTTAGTGCGACACTGTAGCTCATTAAGATACTCCTTTGAACATCTTGACCAGAACTCGTTTTTTAGATGATTCACCAGCTTCCACCTGGTTAAAAGCGATTGTTTGGTTGTAGTTTCTGACCTACTTGGATGGGCTGTTAGCGGTTCTCCTATTAAGAAGTGTCCTGGTGTGAGGGCAGCCGGGTCATTTGGATCTGATGACAACGGTGTTATTGGTCTGGAGTTTAGCATACTTTCAATTTGGGTTACCACTGTTTCCAATTCCTCGTAAGTGAGTGACACGTTGCCAATAGTTCGCACCAATAGATATTTAGCTGATTTGACAGCAGCTTCCCATAATCCTCCGAAATGTGGTGCTCTCGGAGGTATAAAATGAAAAACAATTCCTTGAGCTGAACAGGATCTTATTATGTTGTTTTGAGCATTTGTGCTGTGAATGCTTTCAGCTAACTCGTTCATTTGATTTTTAGCGCCCACAAAATTAGTCGCGTTGTCACAATATAAGTTCTGACATCGACCTCTTCTTGACGTAAACCGGTTCAAAGCGCCTAAGAATGCATCTGTAGTGAGATCACTAACAACTTCCAAATGTACTGCCTTCGTGGAGAAGCAGCAAAACACTGCGATGTATGCTTTGCGTGGTCTTTTGCCTCTAATTTTGTGGTGTATCCATATGGGACCACAGAAGTCCACACCTGCGTTGAAAAAAGGTCTTTGAGCTTGGACTCTGTCAGCTGGTAGATTGCCCATGATTTGTTTGAACATGTGTGGGCGTACTCGAGTGCATTGTACACAATGTTGCACAATCCAAAATCGCTGCCTGCCCTGGGCTAATAATGTTTGCGGTCCGCAGTGAAGTCCCTTCTCATGTAAATGTTTCATTATGAGCTAGCTATTGGATCGTTATATGGCAGCAGCATAGGGTGTTTGGCATCGTAGGTAAGACGCCACTATCGTCGATAAATGGAGAAAGTCCGTGGAGACTACTGCTTCCCTTCAAATCCCTTTTCTTTAAGAGTTGATGTCGTTCTTCATTGAAATCACTTAGCTGTATGGCTTTTATAATTATGAGTAATGACTCATCCAGTTCTAATGGTGTCAAATTGATGTCGTTGTGTTTGCTCTTATTACGTAACCCTTTGATGAATCTCAACACATAGCCAAAAATTCGTTGCAACCTAATGAATGAGTTTCCATGCCCTATCGTATAAATCATTTTGATTAGTTCATCATCATGTGAAATTGTAAGCACATGTACCTTCCTTTTGACTTCCGCTTGTAAATGGTCGGATGTTATCAATTCCTGACGGAATGGTTGGGGCCAGCATTCTTGATTTCCATGAAGGAAAAGTGGCCCATAAAACCACATTGCATTCTTCTGAATGTAAATTGGATCTACACCTCTGGATAATAAATCAGCTGGATTTTGTTTAGTATTGACATGCCTCCACTATTCCTTTAGTGTTAATTGCTGAATCTTACTGATACGATGAGCAACGAAGGTTTGGAATGTTGATGGTTCTGAATTGATCCAATGCAGTGTTATCTCAGAATCAGTCCACATATATATCGGATGATGTTCATATTCCAAATCCTTTCTTACCTTTACTACCAATTGTGCTCCTAGTAAAGCCGCACATAACTCAAGTCTTGGTATTGTCTGCGTTTTTAGTGGAGCGACGCGTGATTTTGAACAAAGTAACTGAACTGAGATAGTTCGATCAGTCATTTCGGCTCTGATGTAAATGGCAGCTCCATAGGCCCTTTCGGAGGCAACAGTAAATACATGAATCTGAGTATTCCTTGGTTGTTTATGATGAAATATATGTCGTGGAATCTTTACATTATTTACTTCACATAAGCTCTGACGAAAATGGGTCCATTGAGTATGCATTTCAGCAGGCAAAGCTTCATCCCACGAAAGTTTTAACTGCCACAATTTTTGAACAAATATTTTCGCCTTCACTACTACGGGAGCCATTAATCCAAGTGGATCAAAAATGTGCGCCAACTCGGAACTTACGGTCCTGTTTGTTATTTTGCTGTGTGTAGGTCCGTTAGTTTTTATTGAAAATTGATCAGATTTTGGTAGCCAGATAAGGCCTAGAGTTTTTACTGTCTTATGTGACTCACTGCTGACATCGAGATCCACTTCTTGATCT